CCTCCCTCCCTCTCTCTCATTCTCTCTTTACTTTCCGTTTTTAGTTTACATTGTTGGTTGATTAATATAAAGTCTAATTATTGGAAGTTGTGATTGATAATGTCATATGTATAATGTACTCTTAGAATGGGACATTTTTTTGTAGATGAATAAGATTGCTGCATAGTTTACAACTTCATGAGTGATTATTGTAGAAGGAGTTTCCTGAACATTATCATGCTTAATAAGTCTGATTTTGTGAATAATTAAGTTTCTCAATAATAGTCACTATCTAACCATTATGAAATCAATAATCGAAGTACAGGTAATGTCGTAGTTATCCCAGTGTTCCTTTTTGTTCATAAAATCCAGTTTATAACATTTGTCCAAGTCAATGCTTCAATCTTATCTTACAAAGCGTTTGAGACCAATAAGAGAGACAGAAAGAGTGTCCCCAAATGCCCTAGTGCGGCTAAGGATGTTGAGAGTCCGTGCTCTCTCTCTCTCTCTCTCTCGAAATGCTCTTACACGACCACGCGTATAAAGTCACTGCCAGGGAAGTCCTACTCAATGCCTTCTCGCGGTGGGGGTGTTGTTTATGAAATTGAGAGGAAAAAAATGAATATCAGGCACTGTAACCGGGTTGGTGGATATGGAGGATCCACCTACGAAAGTTGTAAAACCCCGATCCCAAACGAATAGTGCACATGAACTCCAGGATCCTGATGCAACAAATGGCCTATGAGTTTATTGATGTTCACCATGAGACTGCATCTCCTAACGTTGCTCCACTGACTTGTGGATTAGACCTCTAGGCCAAGGGTTCGGGAGGTGGCTGCGAAGAACACCACCTACTTCGATTTGGGTTCCTGGACAGTATCCCAGCCCCAACACGGAGATTATTAAACTATTGAACTATTTAATATTCATAATGCATTTATTTATTTAATTAACACAAATATTGGTACAAGGAGGCATCAAATACATATGCGCCACACAGATCTCACTTGATATTTGTGAGGGCTATGATACTGCCTGGGTGCCCAAACCGAAGCAGGTAGTTTTCTTAGGGGGCAACGCCCGAAGCCTTCGACATGAAGGTCTGATCCACAAGGTAATGGAGCATCGTAAGGCGATGCAGTCTCATGGTAGTCAGTGACCAACAATTGGTTCATACGCCATTTATTTCCTCAGGATCCTGGAGCCCATGTGCACCATTGGTTTGGAATGAGGGTTTTCCAACTCCGCTAGGTGAACTCCCCATGTCCACCAACCCGATTAAGGCGCCGGACGTTCGCTTTTCGTTCTCTCAATCGCATAAACAACACCCACGCTATGAGAAGGCAATGAGTAGGACTTCCTCGGTAATGGTTGTATGCACATGGCCACTTGAGAGCATTTCGACAGGGAAAGGTAACTCTCCCTACTCTCGGCCGTACCAGGTCATTTGGGGGCAGTGCATTGTAAATAACAAACATGGATGTAAGTATACTCATGAAGCAGTTTGCTTGAATGGTAATTTTATAAAGACATCCTCGTAGTCAAGCAATTATCTCTCATTTTGGTTCAATCAAAGCGCTGTATCCACGCCTAGTCCTTGAATACTAGTCGGTATTTATTCATCTATCATGTATAGAATACAATATCGATATCTAATGTTAGTCAATATTCGGTCGTCAATCAACTGCAAACATGTTAATCGTACAAGAAGTCAGTCCCTGCGTTTTAGACTGTGAAACTGAGTTACTTGATTTCGACTCCTATAAGAAGCATTGGTTCCCTCAAAATCACAGTTACAGCTTACTGAGATGAGTACTAGCTGGCGCTAAGCCTAGAATAAACAGAATTTTCTGTTGGCATATTCATTGATTGTTATAGTTTGGTTGGTGTAGCTGATGTACCCCTTATAAAATATGTAAGATTACATAATCCAATTAACGTTTTAGATTTAAATTTAACTCATTCCCCAGGTACTTGAGTATGATCCACTCTCTAAGAGTGAGGGACTAGTGATACTGCTATCCCAGTTGCCCATAATAAAGTAGGTGAGAGGGCCCGAACCTGGATGTGTGGGCATGGCGGCTGAGAGTCGAGCCCCTTAACTACTAGGTCACCGTTCCACTTCAGTCAGCATACAGTACTAATAAGTTGAAACAAGTTTGACCTGGTAAAATTTACTGAAATATTTAATTATTGAGAGAATCTAGAGATTTGAGAAGATTATCTATGAAGGGACAATATTGTGATCCACTACTTACTGCTGCTTTTCCCTAAAAGTCAGGTACTCTAACAAATAAACCACACTGTTCTACAATATCAATGCACTTCTATCTATATTGAAATCACAAATACTTCTTTTCTATCAACTTCTATTTACTTAGAATGTGTGTTAATTTTCTCCCCAAGTCTATTCGTTTTAAACTGAAAAAATATATCTAGTTCTTATATTGTGGAGCAAGTGTTCAATGGTTAAGGTCTTAGACTTTTAGCCGCTAACTCCCAAGTTCGAACCCAGGTACACTCCGGTTAGAGAAACCAAGGACGTAATATCACTTGGAATAACCCTAGAAGAGCTACAAATAATGGTTTTTCCAGACACATAAGTGGTGAATTTACAAAGTTTTAGTGTAACTGAAGTTTATTTTTGTTTCCTTTCTGAAAACAAACCAATTCATTTGTTAATAATTCTTCTGTTTGATTGAGAAGGTAAGTTGTTTTCTTACATATTACTGCTAAACAATTTGTTCCTTTAAAAGATTGATACCTACGTTTTTCCAAGTTCCAATCAGATTGGTATTCTCCTTGGACAATTGATTGATTCTTTTATATGTTAAAGTTAATCTCTCTTCCAATATTTGACATAACCACCATTTCATGTTCCATTCACAATTTGATAACTAACTTAAATGTAATTTATCTGTTTTAATCCCACCTCGGTAGTAGTAGTAGTATGTTTATAGTTAATTGTTTGAAGTTGTGAATGTTGTGTTCTGTGGTCCGGTTTAATTATGGCACATATTTCCTACGTTGTATCAAACTCAGTGCACAGATAAGAAAACTGAAATTAATAAGAAGGTTTACTTATCTAATCCTATTGTAATATGTTTTAATTTGATGCAAACTAGGTCATGTAGGCACATAATTTACTTCATCCGATAGTTTACCTCTCTTGTAATTTCTCACCAGTTGTCTGACCATGTGAAAACGTGACATGTCTATACTCACTCAACCTAACATCTCTTGAAAAGTTGTAGACTTTCTCTTTAATTAAGGTAACAGAACTATAGAGTACCATTAAATTCGACCCCAGCAGCTTCAGAGTCCGTATATAGTCACGAGTATGTGCTGCTAATAAATGTTCATTTATGATGATGCAACTAGTCAGTGCTTCATGATTTTCAATAATTTGCCTATTCATAACAAAAACTAAGTTCACTTCCATTTGTCTTACCACAGAAATATTGTCTAAAACATATACATGCAAACTGTTTTATCAAAACTGAATTAATTATTATAAATCATGTATTTTGTAAAGACTACGAAAGCTACCCGTTTTGTATTGTTTTATTTTTTGTTCTGGGTGGTTTATAATTGAGAAGCTTTCATTGTCATTCTAGACAGGATCTTCAGCACCCACTCTATGTAGAGATAAGGATTTTAGTTTTTCAGCAATAAAATTTGTGAAGATAACCATTCACAAACAAGCCTATCAAAAGCAAACCGATATAACACTTGCGGAATATTATTGAGATCACGAATCGATGTAGGTTGAACAAACATTGAAAACCTGTAAGCACTGGATGGCCATTTCGTCACAGTATGGAAGTTTTCATAAGTGTGTGTCTAACGGAGGACTTTCACTTCTTGCGACCAACGCTTAACTTCTAAACCACTGATTATTAGGCTGAGATCCGATGGCATACATGTCTAACTGCAATCGATTGGAGATACTGCATTGCTACTTACCATCATCTCCAGTGGGTACCTGTTTCATACCTAACACAGTTGAACCCCATTGATCACGGCTTTTCACTGGAACTAAGGAAATTTCCTCCTGAACCTAATCACTAGTGAACATATAATAACCATCAATATAAGGTTATGGAGATTGTTAAATTTTATTAAGATCGCAAACTGATCTATATGATTTCAATGGTTAAGATCATGATTCAGTTGAAGCTAGAAAACCTTGGAGCACTGGACAGCCGTTTCACCCTATCGCGGGACTCCTCATCAGTGCGCATCCACGACCCCGCCCTCTGCGAGATTCGAACCCACGACCTACTGGTTTCGCGCGCGAGCACTTGATCACTAGACCACTGAGCCAGTCGATGTTCAATGGTGTTAATGTCTAACTTCAACTAATCCACGAAATTGAGCAACACATCCACCATTGTCTTCATTGAGTTACTATCTCACAACAGACCTGGTTGAACTCCACTGGTCACTACTCACTAGAACTCCAGGATATACCTCTTGATCTATATAAGACAACTAATAATAACTAAGAAATTTATTTCAATATGAATTAAACACTAAAAAATGACAATTAAATCTCCACAACTATAAGTCATCAAGCCCATAAACACAATATGATATCATTGAAGGCATCTGTCTATCTGACCTGCATACCGTCTCTATCATTTCAGTCAACTGTTCTGGATTGTAATTGTAACTCATCTATATTTCCATTTGTAAATCTACCTTTAAAAATGTTACAATTTAATTGTTATTTAAAAAAATTTTCTTTACCCCCCCCCTTCATTTTTTTCTGTTTGTATTTTTTTCCAGCCATTTTGAACGAATAATTTCAACAAAAACATTCAATTGAATATACGCGCCAAAAATCAATCTCAGTACAATAATCAATTATTCACATATAAAACAAAAAACTGTTTATTCTCTTCAACAAAACGTTTCCTTCCAAAAAATTTGTTTCATCGATTTGTATTTCTTATTTCTTTCTGGTGGTTCTTGAAAAAAAAGGACAATTGGTCAACAATACTACAAGATAATACAAAATGCTTAATGGTGATATATTGCATATGGAAGATAACGGTGAGTCGTCTCTACATCAATCTCTTATCTCTTTGATCATTATTAACACTAGTTAATTTATAAGATATGATGTTGTTAGTGGTGTTGTTATAGTTTTGTCAACACACTTCCTTGAATTACTAGCGTCTTCAGTTTTGCACTATCACTATTCAATAAGATCAAGGTATTGTGTTGACTCTCATGACTAAGAATTCAATCGTATGTCATTTTATTTAAAAAATGGATATTCTATAGATTTACTCAGGTTTTTTTTTCGATTATTTAAGACAACTATCCTGTTGTTTAATCAGTAAGCATGTCATCTAGTTAAATAAACCACTAGATGGTCGATTAAGCCTAGTTGAGAATTATCGGATTAGTGTGCACTAATGACCTTAAATAACCTAGAATATTTCAGTCAGTCAATTAATCAATCAATCATGATCATTATAAAATCGGATGTGGTTTTGCATTAGCCAAATTTACCATACCACATTAGCACAACTAGATGAATAACGAATTTGTCAAAATAATTTCGTAGTAGTAATGATAATGAGAAATGAACGGGATACCGTAATTCAAGACCTAGACAGAGATAAGAAGTTGAAAAATTTTCATTACTGTAACTGATTTCACCCATTGTTTCCAACAATTAATTACAATTATTGTATAAACCACAAACAGTTCATTAGACTGAACATAATTTTATTTAACCATAAAGAATTCAGTATGGGGATTTGTGAAAATTATAGTGTTTTAACAGCTAAATTCATGAGTCAATCTAAGCTAGACCACCACTGAAAACCTGGAAGCACTGGACCGCCGTTTCTTTCTAATATGGAACTCTTCATCAGTGCGCAGCCACGATCCCGTGCTCGGAACTCAAATCCAGGACCTTCGGTCTCGAGTTTGAACGCTTAATCTCTAGACCACTGAACCGGGATCCAGCAGTGTTATTGTACAACTTCAACCAATCCACGATATTGTGAAACCATCTGTCACTGTTTTCGGTGGGTAACTACCTCACATCCAACACGGTTGAACCCTATTGGCCATGGCTTTTCATTAGAACTCCGAGAATCGCTTCTCGAAGTAAGTCACTAGTGAGTACATGATAATTTTTAGCATAAGTCCTGGTGATTGTTAAGTTTCACTGAGATTATAAATCGATCAGTGTTAGACCACCAATGAAATCCTGAAAGAAACAAGTTTTTGGCGCTTATTATGAAATTCACTAACACCATTGGATTTTGCTTTAGCGATCTATAGGTTAATTGTTCGCGCAAGATACTGAAGGTCATGCATTCGATTGCAGAGTACGGGATCGTGAATGCGCACTCCTAAGGTGTCCCATACGGAGGCGAAACGGCCATTGGTTGTTAGCAAGTTTTCAACAGTAGTCTGACATTAGTCGGTTCATGATTTCAGTCTAATTCAATTATCTACATTGGCTTGTAGTGCCTAATACATATCACGCTGTTCAAAGTAGGTATTAAACGATAATTTAATATAAAGTCTCGAAAATGTTTTCATCAGTGTTGAGTGTTACTCTGTGCTAATCAGAGGTATCAGTTCAAGGCCAGTTGATATCCAAGCAATGTTAATGAATGGATGCTATCGGTCTAACTTTGTTTTCATTACCTAAGAGAGACCGATATACCCTATTGGTTGGAAATGTAGCCTAATTTTCTGAGGGACACAAATCTACATTCATGAATGAGTTTGTGCATATTTCTAAATTCAGGTTCTACAATACAGTTTCTTATTCACTCAAGTAGCAAGGCTGGACCCACTTATAAGAAGGGCACCCAACATAACGCAATATATTGCAAATTAGTATCGTATATGCATTGCATTCACTTTAATATGCTATGAAAGACCAGATAATTGAGATTCATGCATGCATATACACTCACGTGTACCCACTTAAACATACATATGAACACGCCTACTATTCGAATTGGGTTTTTTTTCTCTTCGTTTTTCTAAAACAAGTTCATTAAACAATCTGAAATTTTCGTGACTCTCATAGTAACAATTCATTATTTTCCTATACTTTTCATATACTTTTTATGACATACATGTTTAGATATAGTTATAGTAAGTTTGATTTTAAAGAGAAAATTCATGTAATATACCTGTGAATTTATGTGAACTGAAGGTAGTTTCTTCTATCAACTATAGTATCATTAAGGATCATCACAACTGGTCTTTAACTGATATACACAGGTGTATTTCATCCATATCGGTATTAGTTATTCACTTATATATTTCCTCTAATGAATTATGTGAATGAATTTTTAATGTTAAAATAATATTATCTACATTATTGATGAGAATTTAATCTCCCTATAAATCAAATGTACATTATGAACTGATCTTGATAAGATACTATTGAAAATTAAAAAAAACTATTAAACAACCGGAACTTTCAGTGAATGCTTAAATCACTGCATTTGGATCGAATGATTTACATGTTTAAGTTCAGTTGATCCCCATTATTATCTAAATATTATCCATTCCCATTGATGGGTAACTGCCTCACATCGTAAATATAGTCGATCTCCACTAGTTACAACTTCTCATTAGAACTCCCTGATTTATCTCGTTTGAAATTAATCACTAGTGAGCATATTATTATTATTATTATTATTATTATTATTATTATTATTATTATTATTATTAAAATAGGAGGCCCGTAGAGATAATTAGGTTGAAGTTTATTGTAAACCATTGAATCTTGGTTCATATCTAATCGAACTATCTAAACTAGATGGTCTATAATTGCTTTTCGTACAATGAAAAAAAACTTTTTTTCTTTTATTCACTCCTTATCATTACTGTATTTGTTTTATTTTCGGATATATTCAAGGCATATCACCTGTTTACTCTAGTACTCAGTCATTTGTTTAAATGATTATTTCTCTGTCTTTCAATCACCGTTACATACATTTGCTTTTATCAATGCATAAACAATTGTATATATACGTACTTGTGCATATTAGCGTATATATATATCTTTTTTCTCCAATGTTCACAGTTGAAATCACCAGGATAACAAGATAAAGCTTTTTTTCTCCCTTCAACTAATCGGTTAGACATCAAAAGTCACCAAACAGACAGATATTAGTTTCAAAATTACTCTAAACCATTAAACTGTATATCTGATATCAGATATTTAAGTTATACTATTTAGAAGAGTACTACTACTATTACTATTACTATTACTGAAATTATGAACTGATCAATGTTAGACATCCACTGAGAACCAGAAAGCACCTGATAGTTGTTTCATTATCATATTGGACTCCTCAGAAGTGCACATTCACTATGTCAGTATACTTAACTAAATTCAGGATCTCGAATATTGTGCGTGAACATTTAACCTTTATGCCATTAAGTCATAGACGATATGAAATGTAGATATCGATTCTCAAATGGGACGTTTTTAGTTTATCTTCGTTCGTAGTTACAGAAACTTTATTTTTCAATGAATTAACAATTCATTAGTTATTTCATTCATGCTTCTAAATTGAAATGATATTATTTATGCCTAACCAATGGTTCTGTTGTGAAGCAGTTTGACTTTCAGCCACTCACCTCCAGGTTTGAACCCCACCCTACTTGCTTCGGTTTAGGCAACCGGATAGTATCACTAGCCCTCACAAAGAATATGACCTGTAACTAAGTACATTAAATTATATTTAGGTAATGAATTATTAGGTTTAATGTAGAATTGGGTTTGATGTGAAATGTCACTATTTTACATGAAATGTTGGTTACTTACTTTCAATAACAAACTGACTGAAATTGAAAAGTTCCATTTACTAAATTTTAATGTACTAATTAAATGAACTTGTCTATCGTAGGATCTAGAGATCACAAGTTCTATTGTATGTGAAATCTGAAGAAGTATGTTCCTGATAATTTGGGAACCAAACTATGATGGTATTTTGACTATTTCCTCATTTTCTTTACTTAACTCCAGTCTGACTGATCGTTGAGTAAGTGATCACCGTCATGTTTGTCTATTGATTGCGTTGCAGTGTGGTCACTAATCTGATTGTATCGACGTCATATGCACTTCGTTGATATGTTAGGTAGTTGGAGGTAATCAACAGACAACTAGGCTTGATCTATATTTCATGCTAGTTGGCACTCGTCAAAGAGCTGTACATTTAATCTTAATGGCACTGATCATCCTTGTGTGATTCAGTCCCACGTCACTCAAATCCACAATATCATTGAATTGTGTCATGTTTCTTTATCCCTTCAGTGCTGAACGAATTATTTCAATTCAGTTGAAGTGTGACTACTAGCTTAATTGACTCAATGTTACGTGTATTGTTTAGAAATATTCCGTGGTCTTGTCCTTCATAGAGCATCAGTTCCCCGAAGATCACACTGACTCTTTGCTGATAAGTAATATATCAACTTATACGAAACCTAAGTCCAGCTGGGTTTCTTGCCAATTACTTTTTGCTAGCTGATAGTCCGTAATAAGTGCTGTATTTCAAGAGATTATCTACTACTCTGAGTTATTGTAATTAACAGATTTATTCATTCATTCTTTAACTATCCATAGTTGTCTTGTTTAAGACATGTGATATTACTCTACAGACTAAAGTAGATTAGGTAGGATTCGAACCTATATAATCGAATGATTAATAAATAATCACTTCCTACATATCATCATAATGATATGAAATGTGAATAAATAGCAACACAACAGTTGGTTTCAAAACTGAATTTATTTACATTAAATCATTTCATCTTGTTGTTTGTATTTGAATCTAAAATATTATATTCTATCGTCACAAATGTATCCGAGTGTTTGTGTATCTGGGATAAAAGTTGAACAGGTGTCGTCTACGTCTTAGTTGATGTGATATTCCCTAACTTCTATATTCACTCATTGTTATGACTATCAGTTAGTTAGTTTGTTATTTGCTTGTTTCTCCATCGAAATCCATTAGAACAAATCTTTAATTCTCCTTTTTTTTTGAACACAAATAAAACAA